CACACCTCGCACTTCTCCCGCACGAGGTTCTGCCGCACGATCGCCAGCTCGTTCTCGGCCACGTCGAAGTCGTGCGCCACCTTGTCCTGCGTCGTGCCGATGTAGATGCGTTTACGCACTTTGCGAGCTAGAAGCGGAGAGGAGATGATGTTTCGCTGGTCTATGCTCGTCTTCATTTCTGCTCTCGTATTCACCGCCGCAAAGTAAGTCGGACCCCATGAGTCGAACAATAGTATCACTCTTCCTGCCTGTGTTCACTGTTTGCCCTGTCTGTCCTTCATGCAGGGGCGTGAGCAGCTCTTTCTGGACGTCATTCTCGCCAGCCGACGACCAACCCGCCACCGAGCCAAATTACGTCGAGGGGGCCGATAGAGGCAAGCCGTCCGAGTATGCGTCTTTCGCTGGCGGCTGCTTCTGGGGCATGGAGCAGTAAGCAACGGCACGCAGCAATGATGTAGTGGACGCCTTCTGCTTTTGTTTTGGATTGCAGGAGCTTCCGTGACCAGTTCGGCACAAAGTTGAAGAGCACGTCGGTGGGGTACATGGGCGGCAGCAAGGCCAATCCGACGTACACGGAGGTCTCCACGGGCACCACAGGCCACGCCGAGACGGTGCAGATCGAATTCTTCCCTGACAAAGTCAGCTATGCGCAGCTGTGCAAGTTCTTCTTCACCAAAGCTCACGATCCCACGACCAAGAACCAGCAGGTACATGGGCAAAGGACGGAGAGGACGCAGCACAGGACAGCACACTCATGCGTACCGTACCTCTCTCTCTGTGTGTCTTTCTCAGGGCCCTGATGTAGGTTCACAGTACCGGTCCGTCATCTTTGTGCATTCGGATGAGCAGCGAAAGACAGCTGAGGAGGCCAAGGGAGAGGCCCAGAAGGAGTACAGCAGCCCCATTGTCACCGAGATCGTCAGTGCGAAGCATGGCGACTTTTGGCGGGCAGAAAAATATCACCAGCTGTGGGGGTACAAGACTCACTGACTCGCAGGTAGCCGATCGATGGAGGAGGGCGCATTTGTGGGGCTGCATTTTCGTGTGTGCGCGGAAGGTCAGAGCGTCTCGCAGAGCGCCGATCTTTTCCCCTGGTGTCTTGTCGAATTCACGTTCACTTGCAGTTTGGGCCTGCCTTTTGCGATTGTCGTGTCTGTTGCATTTCGTGTCTGTCTATACTGCTCAAAATGCATGCTGTCCAGACATGATCTCAAATCTCTCGAGATTGCCTTCCTGCAGGCCTGTACGTGCCTCTACGAATGTGTGTGTGCGGCTGTGTGCAGCCGCACACGTCATAAGCTCACTAAGTCTTAAACAGGCCTGACTGCACTAAAACAAATCAATCAATCAACCACTCCGCCCCTCCCACACATAGCCTCGTGTTCCCCATGGGATGCCAGAGGAGCCGCGCGTTATCGACCGACAGGCCGGACACCCGACGAGCACGTCAGACGCTCGAACGGCACATCGGCACCCGCTCACACAAAAGTTGCGTGCAGCCCACACCAAAAGCCGCAACATACATACACCCATTCGTCCCAGCCAATCAATGCGAGCATCCAAGCAAACAAATAAACTCGGCAGCCGCAGCCTCAGATAAAAGACAGCACCGCGTATGTAATAAAACACACCAGAGCGTTCACACACATGCACAACACATGTAGGTACGTGTAAGCTTCCTGCTTTCATCAGCAGCGGGCCAACGACAGCATGCCAGCCATGGAGATGACCAAAGGCCACAGCCCGACAGACACGAGTGGATGGGCCGCCGACGCACTCCGTGGGTCGAACTCCGAGTAATGCGCCATGCAAAACTCCTCAGGCCGATCCAGCCTGCACAGCGTACACGCACCACAGACAGACGCACACAGAAATACACAAATGGACGGCACTTGCACGTGTCCAGTCAGCTCACCTGAAGAAGGCTGCCTGGCTTTGCACAAAGCCCGTCGTGAACTCACGAAGGCCCTCCATCAGCTCTGGCTCTACCTTGCCAGTGTGGATGGCCGCGATCACCTGTGACACACACACAGACACACAACGCAGCAAATGCTGTGTGTGTGCCACGACAGCCTTCGTGCCGGCCGGCAGACCTCGCTGTTTATGACGCCCGCCACGAGGTCCGCATCGTTAGAGTAGGTCTGCTGCGTGGCGTTGCGCGGCAGCACAGGCCGCACTCCGTCAAAGTTGCCAGCCGACAAGACGCCAACCGTCCACGACCCCCGAGACTGCACCACACACACCGCGTGTATAAAGTGCCGACCCTCCTCCACTTGGTGTGATGTGCCTACCTTCATTGCGACGCTGAGCTCCGTCCTGTTGAAGAGAGGAGAGTCTTCCTTGACCAGCACGGAGGCGATGGTACCCAGCGTGGTGCAGGAGGTCAGAAACCGCTCCTGGCGGGGCCTGTCGGTGTGATCTAGAGCAGACAGGATGTAGTACGGCTCAGTCATGTCGATGCGCTTCTCGGGCGGTGCGGACTCGCCTGCAAAATGACGACACACACGCATGATGCAGGCACATCGTCCACCCACCCACATGCATTGGCTGCCCTACCGTCGTCAAGGGTCTCCAGCAGCTCCTTTGAATCGGCGAAGAAGACGCGCTCTATCTGCACTTCCATGCCGTAGAATGCCCCCAGTCGAGAGACAATCTCAGCGAGGTAGTCGGGCCAGAAGCCCTCCGGCGGGACCTTGGTGTAGTTGCCGTCAGGGCCCCAGTCGTACGGGCCGAGGGCGCCAACGCGAAGGGTCCTGTTCTTGAGCACCCAGAAGAGCCGTTCCTCCTCTGACAGATCTTCCATCGGGGGGTAAGACCAGTCGCCCCTGGGAGCATCGACCAATCAAGAAGGACCACACGTGAGGGGTGTGCGTACATTGGCGCATGCAATCAATGCTCTCTCGTGATGAGCGTGGTGCTCACCTCGGGTTGCATGTCCACGCGGCGATGCGTGTGGAGTTTTCTCCTTTGGTGATCAGGGAGGGATCATTGTCAAGCGTGTCCATCAGAGCTGCATCGAAGGCACTCACGAGCGACCTGGAGGTCAGCTGTGCGGCGGACGCGCCGTCATGATGATGCGCATGAAGCGGCGATGTGAGCAAGATGAAACAGAAAGCAGAGATCAGACTTCGTAGGAACATGGCACCACTGGGATCACTGACAGGCACGCACCAGCAGAAGGAAAAGGAAAGGGACGCGGGCAGCGGCGGTCGGCCAGTGGTCATTTGCGATCGGGCCCCACTGGGGAACTAGGTGTGGCCCCACTGCTCTCCCTTCGGTTCCCTTTGCCGTCATGGCATCTCAGCCTCCCTACCCTTTCGGGATGGAGCAGGCGTTCGCCATGGAGCAGCCCCTTCACCCTGCAATGGGCCCCTCGCTATGGACCACTGCAAACACACGTAAGAGAGGACACGCAGACTAGTGCAACCATGGGGGGGACTGTTTGGGCTGCTTTTTCTCCTTCGTTGTAGTTCCCTTTGTGGTGCCGATGAGCCCACGAGAGATGCCCCTTCTCGTTCCACCACCACCTGTCCAGCCAGCGGCTGTATTCCCGGGGGTGGGCTATGGATTGGAGAAGCCGCAGAGAGAGTGTGCGCCGCCTCTGCAGGAAATCGAAGATGACGACTCGTGTGACGAGGGAGAAAAGAGAGTGGGTGAGAAAGCTCCATGCATCAAGGGAGATCAGTCGTCGTCCGTGGCTGATTTGTGTCTGTTGCCTTCGTTCAGGGTTGTTCTCATTCCTCAACCACATCATGTACCTGTGGGAGTATGCCGATGAGATCATGTTTGCGTCCATCACCTTCGGGGACTCGGCGGGGGAACACCTAGGGTGCTACTTTGCAAACATGTCAAAAGGTGGGAGACAGACTGTTTGCACGCATCCACAAGTGATGGCCGGATGGATGGACGGATATTCCCTCTCCACGTGTACACAGGGGGTGAGGTCTTCTTTGTCGACAAGAGCCGCCTCGTAAGACCCACACAGTCGTTGCGCGGCACCAGCTTACCTCTTGTTTGCGTTGCATTAGTGCTCTCCCGATGGGTTCCGGGTGTACACGTGGGGCACAGAGGTGCTGGGGGGGATCCCAGTCCGGGAGAAGCACACATTCTTCCGCCGTCTCTGCCCACTGGGCACGGCAGCCCGCCTGCGTGAGTGCCTTGTGAGACACAGCCGCATCCCGTTTAGCATGGTCCTCAACAAGTAAGCCACACGGCATCTGCGCACGTCCAAGTGCGAGAGCTTTCGGCTGCGGGTGGGCTGGTGTGTGTTCAGTTGCCACCATTTTGAGAGGGATTTGCGTGCAGCGGCGATGGGTGTCTCGCCGTGTTCGGTACGGACGCGCAGCACCCTCAGGACGGCTGTGGGCGACATGTTGCGCATCCTGCCCTGCTGTGCGTGCTACTCGTCGTGAATATGATGAAAGGAAGGAATACGATGAAAATGAAATGTGGGGGGACGTGTGGGTAAGGCTCATGTGCGGGTGTGCGTAAAGGGAGGGAGGGTGCCAGGCCAGGCTTCACGTGAACTGACAAAGGCGCACAAGTGCACAATTAAGTGAAACAGTGTCATGAATATCAAGCAGACCACACACACACAGACACATCAGAGACAGAGAGGGCTCACGTACACGGGCCAACCAAACATCCACGCAGGCTATCTTCTTCGATGGGCGGGTCTCTCGTCGGCGCCATCCTGAGCAGCGACGTGATGCGAAGGCACGTGTTGGCAGCAGTTGGCTCGTGACGTCGTATATCGGCCTGACACACACATCAGCACACACACACACACACAGAAATGGCTTCGTGTGTGTGTTGGTGGGTGATGCCATTGCCGTCATGCGTACTTGAGAGTTGATGTATGGGCATGGCTTCTGTGAGTTGGCATGTGGTAGAGGTGCACCGGGTGGAACACTGTTGATGAGCAACTGCACCATACGACACGACACGACACGACACAACACGACACAACAACACAAGCCAAGGCGTGTGTCTGCTATTCGCCTCATTGCATACCTGAGTGCTGCCACTGGCTGCCTTAGGAGCGGCGACCTTGGCGGCCGCCGCGTGCATCACCTGGTGCATCTGCATCTGCTGCTGTGCCGGTGTCGAAGAATGCTGTGAGGAGAAGGAGATGGAGAGGATGGCTGATGGCGAAGATCCCTTTGCCTCATGGAGTGGGCGTTTCGTACCGATTGATAGTCGCCCACAGATGCAGGCGTAAGCGGCCTTGTATTGCCTCCGCCTTACTGCGGGTTGGGGTACATCTTCGAAGGCCTTCAAGTCGCAAGCGCAGCAACATGCCAAATGTAAACTCTTTCCACACACAGAGAAGCGACATGCCAGCTGTCGTACTACACACACCCCTCTAGAGCTTGCTGCATGGCCATGGTTGTCTGCTATCCTCCTGCCATATCGTCCTCAGACAGCGCGGCACCTCGGCAGCTGAAAACAAAGACTTGAGGCGCATCTTGGGGCTGGGGGACGTGTCAACAGAGCGGGCGCTGCTCTCTCCCTCTGCCGGCACGGCGAGAGCCGCCAGCTGGAAGTGGATGTCGTCCTGATAGAAGAGGAGCATGTAATACGCGCGTGGTGTGTCGCTGTCGAGCCGGTAGTTGTATACCCGCCCCGTTTGCTGCGATAGAATGATGAAGCCGACATCCAGCGCGTCCTCAAGCAGCTCTGCATGGATGGTGCAAACCACAAGACAGGCAGACACAAGACAGCTGATGAGAATGCTCGCCCGACTTGTGTGTGCACGTGTGTGCCTGGTCTCACCGAGGTCGACTGCCGTTCCCCAGTGGCTGTTGCCGCATTGGGACAGCTCATGTTCCACCGCATCTGCCTTCTGCGCCATTGTTGACGTATCCCATATCACGCCTGGCGTCACACCACACAGAGCACAAATCTAGATATATCAGCCGCCTCCCGTGGATGTGAGCATGAGAGCCGTGATTACTTACCTTTGGTATCAACGTATGCGTCCTGTTCCATGATGGCCAATGGACTCCATTCGTCAGGCCACTGCTCGCCACTCGCCTCCAATGCCACGAAGGCGTCCATGCGCTCTCTGAACAGCTTCTCGTCGTACTCGTCGCCCTCCGTGCGGCCCACAAACGCACGCGCGACGACGCGCCTCAGTCTTGGGACCGTGTAGGGGCTGCCGTCGGTGTCAACAAGACCGCCAGACGCCAGGCCTTCGGCGATAGAATAGAACAGACAATCGCCACCTCCACCAGTCTCCTGAACGATGTCAAAAAGCAGACGCGGTGAGATGAGAGTTCAGGTGCAGACAAACCCCGCGTGCACTCACCTTTCGACAGATGGTTTGGTCGTTGTCGGCATTCCTCTGGCGCCACCGGGATGGCATCTCTTCCCACTCCCTACCAAACGACCTGCAGCCAGACGTTCTGCCTACACCAAGCACCTCGAGGGCGCTGCGCCACGAGCTGACGCCGCCGCCCCGCACGACGAAGACGTTGGCTCTCCGCAATGGATGATTCATGTGGCTGATCACAGTGACCCTTCTGTCAGCCTCTCGCCGCGTGTGCGACAATGAAAGTGCGGCCGCAGAGAGAACATAAGCCATAATGGACGGGATCAGGCAGGATGGCGGCATGGAGAGGATCCGCGCGCGTTGCGATTCGCCAAAAGCTCGCAGTCAAGGTGGCGAGAATGAGGAGACGGGCCAAAATCGAAACAAGATCTTTCGCTTTCATCCTCCGTCCTGCCTCCTCACACCTTCCCAGTCCTGCTCTCGTTTGGCTTATCCTCTCCTCTGCCTCCGCTGCCCTGTCTGTTACCTCGTACAGCGTCGTGACCTTTGCCTTTGCCTTCCTTCCTTCCCCTGCAACTCCCCCGGGTTCCCTTCTTTCGGCAATTTAGCAGTGGCCCAGTGACGATGCCGTTTCACTACCCAAACATTAACCCACTGGGGCGCCTCCGCCTCGGCTGCAAGCGTTATGGTTTCGTGTCGACCAAGGGAGAGGGCAGCGACGGGCGTGCAGACGTCGTACAAGAAGCGGGCGGCCACAACAGCCGCATCCTGCTCAAGTGGACGAGAGACGGCGATGGGTGTGTGTTCCAAGAAGCGACCAACACGGGCGTCGTCCCGAAGTTCTACGGCAAGACGCCCTTCCGTCTGCAGCCGGACGCCCAGAACCCCCGTTATAGCGAATGGATTTTTGATCTCACGATCTCACGACACCCACCAATCAACCGATGGATGGACCAGTCAGTCACCGACACAACCACGTGGCGAGCACTGCATCGTACCCTGGCTAGTTGTGTAGCCAAACTTGCCTTCAAAAGCTTCTAAAAGGACCGGACCGCCTCACGCACGGCCACATACCATACACACGGACAGGACAAACCTGGCAAATCCATCGAGTGATGCATCTGTCAATCTCGGCGAGACACGCACGCACAGCACTGCCGTGGCGGTCTTTCTTTCTCCCTTCCTTGCGTCTGTCTTGTGTTTGCGCGTCACGCGTAGCTGAAATCATGAAAGCCCCCAGACAGCGACGTGCGATGGGATTCATCATGGACCGACCAGACCATGGCATGCAGCACCAGACAGAGAAACCACCCCCCGACACACACACGCACACGCAGAATACATACGCCTCAGAGGCATCGAGAGAAAGAGTCTGTGTGTGTGCGTCTGTCTGTGAGTCTGCCTACGGAAAAAGAGCAGCCAAAGATTCGTGTCTGTCGCCCTCCCGCTGCCCGCCAGAGGGTGGAAAGCCTGGCTGACAGCAGGGTGGGTGGCTGGGCTGACGGCGAGTCTACGTAGAAACCACACACACACACACACGCCCACACGAACACAGACAGACATTGAGATGCAATTGCAGCAGCCAGCCAGCAAGCCAGCCAGCCAGCCACCGGTGTGTGTGCAAGCCAGTAGGTTAGTTAGGGTGGTACGAACGGGTGAACCAACACGTACATATACGCATGGATGTCCATCGCCAGGGCTGGCATAGCATAGAATAGCATAGCGTAGCATAGTGGAACACACAAACATACACACACACGCATGTGGACACACACACACACATGGACACACACGCACTCTGAGAGGGGGAGCGAGACCTAGAGTGAGACCAATCCTTCGAGGCCACCAAACCGAGCTAGGATCCTTCGACGTATCCAGGAAATGAGCACAGGGCTATGCTATCCTATGCTTAGTGTGTTCAGATAGACAGACAGAAACCCAGCCCACCACGAGAAATACCGCCACTTTGCCCTCCCCATCCCCCCTCAAGTCAGTCAGTCGTGTTACAAACAATTTATCTCTCTGTCTGGTCTGTGCTGTGCCCTTCCCGGCCTCTCTGTGGGTCTGTCTGCCTCTGTGTCTCCTCTCCCATCTCGACACCCTATGGATGGCGCTCGTTAACAAATGGCTGGCGAATTGAATTGAATTGATCCATCTTCGTCTCTCTGTCTCTCTGTCTGTCTGTCTGTCTGCACCTCGTCTGCCTTTGCATGTGCGTGTGCATAAAGAGAGGACCGTGCGTGCGTGCGATCGGTTGGCCGACGAACGAATATATACTGACTGAATGAATGAATTGTGTCCTGGTCGTCGCTGCGTGGGTGCGTGCGTGCGTGTGTGTGTGTGTTGGTCATGACCATAACAGCAGCAGCTATTCCTTGGGTGTGGTGGCTATAATAGGTACGCAATGAACAAAAATAATATTTCAAACACACAAAACCCTCATGGTGCCCACCCACCCGCACACACACATGCATGGATGGCATCAGGCAAGCTTATTCTCATCTGTCTGTGAGTAGTGCAACGAAGGAGGTGGTAGTAGAACGATGTCTTAACGCCACGCACATGCACACGGCATGCATGGCATGGAGAGAGCAGCTGACCAACACGGATTGAAAGATTACACGGGCACACACACACACGCAGGCCCATCCATCCATCGATCCATCCACGCAGCCCCTCTGTATGTGTGTGTGCATCATGAACGCCATTGAGACATGGGCGGCATCATGGTATGGATGGTATGGTCATGTCATGTCATGTCTCACTCCCTCCCTCGCTCCCCTACTGCTGCCCGAACCGAACACGCCACGCCACAGGGTCAATCACAAAGTGTAGAGCTAGGCTAGCCGGAAGACATAGATACAGACACATCACACACAACACACACTACACGTGCATGGACACACGACACGCTGCCCCCGGCCGACCGACCGACCGACCGACAGACCGACTGAACGGCACCAAGAAAAACACCGCCCCTCTCTCGGCTCTGCTCTGCTCGTGTGTTGGCCCTGCCACCCGCACGTACGCCCGCCGGCCTGTCGACGAATCGCTCCCTCGCTCCCTCGCTCGGCCAGCCGCATGCAGGTTGCTATCGACACGTGCAAGGAGGGAAGGATGCACGCCTTGCTATCATCATCAACAAATGCGAAATGCGGCAGCGCGGCTCTGTCTGTCTATCTGTGTGGTGGTGGTAGGGGCGGCCTGGCGTGGCGCGGCGTGGCGGAGGGCGGCATGGCCGAAACTTCGTGGCAGCATCCATCGAACGCATTGCCCTGCCGTCGGTACGAAGGAGGCACGCAATCAACGCACTCATTACATCACATATGTCACATGCATGAGAAGCGGAAAGAAGGATGGCGCAAAAAGGCGCAGCAGAGACAGTCGGCCAGACTCTCGTGGGAAAAAAAAGAAAGTGAACCACGGCAGCCACTCGCACAGAAAGACAGAAGACACGCACACAGAGGGCGCCGCGCCCTCTCCCCATCTCTCTCTCTCTCTGTGTCTCTCTCTGTCCCATCTACAGCTGCTTCCCAAAAGCAGGCAGAGTGCCCCCCTGCTCGTCAGCCGCCCCCCTCTGCTGGTGGTCGGCAATGGCGTCGTGATCGTCATGGTCAGGCAGTGCGGCCTGCTGCCCAGGCCCGCCCCTCCTGGCCGTCGTGCCCTGCGTCTTACTGTTGTAGGCGTATGGGTGTTTCTGCTCCCTGCGGATCTTGTGCAGCATCTTGCCGACGTGCCCCATGTGCAGCAGCGACCGCCGGACGCCGTACGAGTTGAGGAGGTAGTACATCTGCAGCTCGCTGCTGTTGAATAGGTACTTGAGGGCGGCGAGTGCGATGAGCGGGCTGGTGCCCGCGATGCCCAGCACAAAGTGCCACAGCCGGATGGTCTCGACGACCACCGGCCACTCGAGGACGCCGAAGCACTCGGCCAGCAGGTTGGCCACACAGAAGAAGGCGAGCAGGCAGGCCACCATGCCGCCGACGACGGTGCCGAAGGCCAGGCCGTGGCCCTCACCGCCAATGAGGAAGTAGAGGAACAGCCCCACCAGGACAAGACAAACCACACGCACGATCAGGGAGACCAGACGATTGGCCGTGCTCGACATCAATGACATCAGACCATGCTGCAGGTGTGCCAGAGAGAGAGAGAGAGAGAGAGAGGTGAGTGTGTGTGGTGTGGCGGGCTTGGGTGGGTGAGCAGCGTACGCGTGTGTCTTTGGGATTGTAGAACTTGGGGTGGTGGTCCCGGTTGTGAGTGGAGAGTGCCATGGAGACTATCAGCAGGATCACGAAGATGACTGGGGCCAGCAGGGGGCTCTGCTGCACCATCTCCCACGCCCCCTCCCACGTCGGCACCGTCAGCTTGCCCTGGATCATGCTCGGCGACGCCAGAATGTGGTGCCACTCCCTACACACACGGCACAGCACAGCACAGCACAGCACAGCGGTGGTCTCTGCAGGCCCTGCAGGGATGGCCTCTCTGCTGTGTGTGTACCGTACCAGTGTGCGGCCTCGGCGAAGCAGAGCCCCAGGAGCATGAATCTCCACTGTCGTATGAAGATGACGACCTTGTTGAATGGGGCGGCGCCGTTGCGGAACTCCATCTGTGCGCGCCACCAGGCGTACCAGCTCTCGTTGGGGTCATGCTTGTTCTGACACACACAATACACACACACACACACACACACACACACATGGATGGATGGATGCCGCTTTGGCGCGTTCGGTTAGGTAGGTACCTACCCAGCTACCTCTCTACCTACCTTTGATCTGATCCAGTTTTGCCAAGCGCTGAAGTCTGAGATGAGGTGGCCCCAGGAGAGGCCCATGGGGTTGTAGAGGTGCGGCACGTACAGGAACGACACCACCACAAACCACAGCCACCACACGTGCATCCCGATCACAGGATGCATGTCCTGCAGAAACTGCACACACAACACAACACAACACACGCGGACACACACGAGACGTGATGTGATAGACGCCATTGCTTGCAATGCAGGCCGGACGGGTGGATGGCTGGAGGGCAGCTTGGGCAGCGCAGCTTACGTGTAGGTAGAAGAGCAGCAGGAGCAGCTCGATAGCGACTTGGAAGTGGGAGTAGAAGTATGACTTCCACAGGTGGATGAGGTCCTTGTGGTTGATGCTGAACCCGCGACCAGCATTCTGGTACTTGGCGCGACCAAACAGGATCGTCTCGTCAAAACCACTCGTCCATGTCCCAACTGACATCGATCGAAGTCGTCTGTCTCGTGTGTGTGTGAGTGTGGTGATACGTGCGTGCGGGCGAGCGAGGAGGCATGCATACCGGAGAAGGTGTAGTGGAGCAGTGAGAGCGATCGGACGTGCTGCCACATGTGCTTGAAGCCCTCGCCGAGACCCTCCTCCAAAGCAACCACAGCAAAGAACCTGCAGCCGTTGTTGACACACCACACCACACCAACCACACACAGGCATGGTGGACAGATGGGCAACACACTCCCTCCGCACTCACTGCAGTGCACCGGTGGCCTGGCCTGGCCTGGCCCATCTCACCTACCTCATGTAGAAGAGCCCAAGTAGGATGAGCCATATCCTGTCCATGATGGTCACCAAAGCACTGTCCATCCCAACCACCAGAGGCCGGATCTCGTCAGGGATAGCAGCTGAGTCACACACAACACAATACACATACAAACACACACACACCACATGGCCCCCTCTCGCCCTCTTCAGCTCCCTCCCTGTCTGTCTGTCTGTCTGTCCCCCCCCTCACCGATGAAGGCGTGCAGGAAGAGCCTTCCGTAGCAGAAGAGCCAGATGGCGAAGAGTGCCAGTGGGTTGAGGATGTTCCACCCCGGGAAGACGGCGAACAGCGACAGCATGCGGAAGAAGTCGAACCCGTAGGCCATCCTGTAGGCGTCGCGGCTGGCCACCTGCGCCTCGCACAGCCCGCACGAGATCTTGCGCATGAACGCAACCACTTGGTCCAGGTCGTTCGGCCAGCCCTTCGAGCACTGCACTCAGACAAAGAGGGGGCGAGGGGGCATCCAATCCATGTGTGGTGGTGCTGTTGGGTGGGTGTCTCTTCTCTCCTTACCATGATGTAGTCGACCTGTGAAACCGAGTACCCCCTCTGCACGTAGTTCATGCCGCAGTAGACGTCTTCCGTGACGTTGATAATGGCGCTGCCCCTGCTCATGCCGCCGATCGTCTGCACCAGGTACCTGTCCAACACGTCAGGGTGGCCGTAGTGGAACCGCACACGCATCGGCATGTGGAAGGCGCGCGCGTCGAATGCCGTGAAGAGGGTCTGCGAGATGTTGGACAGGTACGAGGGCGCCACAGCGGCCGGGAGGAAGGCGTGCTCGCGGAAGCCGACGATGGCCATGTTGGAGTCCTTTGCGAACTCCTGCAGGAGGTTGCGCAGCTTGAGTGCCTCCTCGAGGTACATCTCCTGGTTCATGTCGATGGCCTGGACGGTCTCGCCCCGTGTGAAGATGACAGCATGGTTCTGATTCTCGCTCTTGCCCTCTCCCACAATGGGATTCCTGCACACACCACACACAACCACCCATCCCATGTGTCAATCCATCCATGTGGTCGATTCAATGAGTGTCGTCTGTCTCGCTACTCACTTGGCCCCCGATGTGCCCTCGAGCAGCCCCAGCACGATCCTATACACCCGCACCAGCCGCTGCTGGCTGACGTCCCACTTGTACAAGACGGAGCACCGAACCGTCTTGGTCTTGCCGGGCGGGGGCGGCGAGGTCTCCTTGCTCGGCGACCACTTGACCAACTCCGTCGATGAGGATGGGGGCCCGGAGCCGGGCAAAGTGACGTCGCAGCTCTCGATGGCCGCCACACGCAGGTTGGGGAAGCGCTTGCACATCTCGGTGATGCAGCGGACACGCAGGCTGGCCACACGGTTGCTCGGCGGCGCTTTCATGTCATCGCCGAGTGTCTGGGCGGTGAGCACGTAGTGGTAGCGGAGAGTCGCCAGGGCCTGTCGAGAGAGAGAGATGCACAGGAAGATGAATCAACGGACGAGGGTCAGGGGCAGACAGCACTGTGCTCACCTTTGCGACGGGGTCGTTGTCGTAGGGTCTGAAGTCGAGGACTCTCTTGCGAGACCGACACCGCTCCCAGTGACGCAGGAACACTTTAGATACACACACGACACACACACACACACACACAGAGAGAGAGAGAGAGAGACCGAGCTGATAAATGGATAGGCCCCCTGAGGCAGTTGGAGTGGCGTCAGTCACCTTGGAGTTTCTTGGGGCTGTCGGGCTGAATGGGGACCTTCTGCCAGTTGAGCCGCTCGTTCTGCTCGAAGGAGAGCATGTTGCGGTCGTGGCACAGGTGCACCGCCTCGCCTCGCTGCTCCTGCAACTCCATCCACGCCTGAACGTTTGTTTAAACCACAATCCAATCCAATCCAAGCACACACACAGAGGGAGGGGATGTGCGCTGTGCTGTGCTGTGTTGGCTGGGGGGGTGGGTTTTACTGTGCTGACTGACTGACTGACTGACCAGCATCCTGCAGGCCTGCTCGTAGTACATGACGGACCTCAGGGTGCGCCACAGCGTCTGAGACCGGTCAGACGCCCACTCCTCTATGTCCTTCTCGAACCTAAACACACACGCACACACACACACACACACACCACCCCAACACCCATTTTGTTTTGCAGGCCCCACGATGGTCGTGTCGTCGACAGCTCAGCTCAGCTCCCCCACTACACTTACTTAGCCGCCATGTCGTTGATGTTTTTGCTGAGTACCCCCTTGTGTGTCTGGCTGTGTTGGTACCACTCGTAGCGCACGCCCTGTGGGTCCATTCGCTCCAGGAAGTTGGCCCACTCGTGGCTGTACATGGTGCGGATGAAGTCGAACTGGCGCACGCCCTCCATGGTCTTCTCGTTCAGGATCTGCTCACGGACAGACACAGAGAAAGGCATCTAGTAGTGCGCTTGGCGGGTCGGGGGGAGAGGGTGTGTGTGTGTGTGTGTGTTGATCACGGTTGAGTCGAGCATGGCGTCTTCCGTGTATGTGGGTGTGAAGGTGCACATGGACACCATCCGCTGCACGCTGGGCGCCTCGGGCATCTCCATGAACAGCGAGCTCGAGAAATACTTCAACCTACACACACACAAAACACACACATACACACAACACGGATGTGATGACCACACAGAGAGAAGAGGGCTTTGATGGTGTCTCCGTGTCAGTCAGTCAGTCAGTCACTGGCCAATCTATCTTCACACCTACCTAGCCTGAGCGAGGCCCGTCTTGAGAACGTGCCCCTGGGCAGTGAGGATGCGGCTGGCCCGGCGGAAGAACGGCTTCAGCGCCTCAGACAGACTCAGCGGATGGTTCAGACGCACACCCTCCTGCAGCTCCTCCAGCCGCCACAGCTTGTCGCAATATCCCGCCTCGGCAGCCGTGTCAATCCACGCAAGCTCAGCGTCTTCGGCGAATCCGCTCAGCTTGGACACCGGCAACGGAGGCCGCACGCCCCTCCTCTGTGGCTGCGGCGTGGGGGGGCCCCGTGGGTCGCGCACAACGGACCTGGCTGTGAGCTGAGAGTAGCTGGATGTGGGCGTGTCGTCGTCTCCTCCATGTCTGCTGCTGGTGATGCTGTTGCTAGGCCGCCGGGCCACCGATGACATGCGGGGCGTTAGGGGGCCCTCGGGTGAGGGCGGCTCGACTACCTGCAGTCGCTCCATCAGGTTGGCCACGGCCAGCTCTGTCTCGGCCTCGCTCACGCCGCCCACGTCCGAGTGACCCGTAGCGTCAGGATCGGAGGCATTGACCACCCTGAGGGAGACCATGACACGCCGCAAGCCAATGCAGGGCAGGCAGCGTCTTGGTAACTACGGTGGGTGTCACAGCACAGAAAGGTGGCTGGCTTACGATTTGAAGGACTGCCTGACGGCAAGTGTCTCGCCCACAGCCTCGAGGAACTCCACCAGCTCTGGGAAGTGCTGCGCCATGCCCTTGGAGGACAGCACGGACGAGCCGCGTGTCTGCAGGAGGGCCGGCAGGGCCACCTTCTGCAGGGCCTTGAGCAGCTTGACGCCGTTCTCCTCAAGCTTGGCCGCATTGTCGCCCTGAGCCGCCGCGAAGACGGCCGCCAAAGTGGTCTGGAGGTCCTTGATGGCCGCCAGGTTGAGCAGGGACAGACAAAAAGGACGACGGGTCACCTGATCGATCAACACACACACGGAGAAGGGCACATCGATGGGTCGGCGAGGCGGTCCAGATGGCTGTGCAGTGCATGTGTGTGCGGCCTGACTGACCCGCTGCACAAGCGAGCTGAGACGAAGCGCGAGGTTGCTGCCGCCGGGGAAGAATCGTGTGAGGTAGAGACACAGTGCCTCGTAGATCTCGAGGAGCGCCGTGCGGAGCAAAAATTGGTGGCTGTCGGCTCGGGGGTCGGCCACGGTGGCCCTCGAGTTGCCAAAAAGTTTGGTGATGAAGTCCTTGCCAGTCTGGTGGAGCGACGCCTTGGCACGCTGCTTGACACCCACCGCTGACCAACGCCCCCGAGTGGCCACTGAGGGCGGCAGCTTCAGCACCTCCTGCAGGTACTGATGCGAGTCGTTGCTCGAGCGATAGTGGTCCTGATGTGGCCACACCCAGTACGATACGAGCCGCGTGTGTGTGTGGGAGGGGTGGAGGGTGGGGGTGGTTGGTGGCTGACCCGCAGGCCTTCCCATATCTCGTTGATGTGCGTCTGGTGCGCTTCGCATTCTCTGGTGAAGCTCTTGAGGACGTCGCAGTACACCCACACCGGGTGGCGGATGTCCGAGCCGTCCCAGGACACACTCACGCTGCCGTTGGAGTTGCCCTCGCCGTCGCAACACGCCATATTCAAATCCTATACGCAGGCGGACAGGACAAACACGGAGGGGAGGGTGTGTGCGGGTGTTGACTTGTTTTGTGTGGCCTCCCTCTCTCCCTCCCTCCCTCTCTGTGTTGTGTTCTTGCCTTGAGGTCTTTGAAGTGGATCGCGGGCAGCTCGTTGAACTGCAGCTTGCACCGCTCGGCGTTGTCGATGAGGTCCTCCTCTCGCCAGGACTCAACCACCTCATTCCACAGAAAGCCAAACCTGATGGATGGATGGATGGCAGGCAGGCAGAGAGAGAGAAATGGTTGAGAGTGGACAACCCACCCACAGCATCCATCATGATGTGTGTGCGGTGGGGACGCATGCGCACCTCCTGATTTGGTTCTCGACCGTCTCAGGTGGAATGGCGTTGTCGTACACGGCCGATATCTCGCGTATCCACCAGGACACCCACCCGCGGCCCTCGCCGTCCTTCTTGCCGCCCCTCTTGCCACCAGACACGTCGTCCTTCCCCCCACCACCACCCGCACCCGTCGTCGACCCACTTCCCCTCTTCTCCTTGGCCAAGCCCTTCTCGGTGTCGACCGCCCCCGGCGTGAGTGTCTTCTTGGCCCCGCTCTCCTGCGATCGGTCGCTGGGGACGGTGTGCGGCGATCCTGGGGCGGTGGACGGGGAGGATGACGTCTCCTGCTGCCTAGGGGTCCGTGCGCCGAGCAGCTGCAGGCCTCTGCGTGGGGCGGTGGAGCTGCCCTGGGCCGGGGGGTCCGCCCGCGGCGAGACGGGTATGTATCGGATGAGCACGTTGGTGAGGCTGTCGTCGTCTCGGGAGTGGGGGACGAACGACTGGCTGGGTTTCCTCTTGAGGCCCTCGGTGGTGTTGGACGAGTCTGTCGGCTGCCGGCTCTTGGTGGGCTGCCGGCTGCTGCTGCGGGAGGTATTGCGCAGGGGGAGGGCGTAGTTCGGCCGAGAATGAGACCTGACGTACACACAACACACACTCGTTGAATGGAATGGACGGATGCCTCTCTCCCAGATAGGGCTGACCTGAAGTATGATTTGGGTTTGACTTTGGACCGTGACTTGCGTGAGTAGAGTCCGCAGCAAAGGTAGCGGGCGGTGAGCTGCAGCAGCCAGTCGATGCCGCACCCAGATATGTTGGGCGAGGCGGAGGTCGGCAGCTTGAGCTGCCGCATCGACCCGCCGGCATCGTCAGACAACACACGGTCGTACTGCAGCGAGCAAAGCAGGCCAGGACACACACACATGTGTCAGTCTTCGTGGTCTTGGTGGTGTGTGTGGGTGGGTGGGAGGGCGGGTGGTGCCCACCTGGATTGGTAGTAGAGGGAAGACCTTCTGGATGACCGAGAGGTCAGTGATGAAGCCAATCTGACACACAGCGGATGGATGGATGGACGGTCGCCAGATTTGTGGAATAAACACATACCCCTCTGAACCATCCGATGAGCCAGCTGACGCCAGATTGGAACACCGAGAAGTAAAACTGAATGGTGGGTGACCACAGAGAGAGAGAAGACACAGGCGCGTACAAACAGAGACGGAGTGCGTCTGTGTGCTCCTTCTGGGTGGGGTGCGGTGGGGTGCGGTGAATGTGTGTGCGCACACCATACCATGATGTCGTAGAAGTAGAGCACGAAGAACGGCGCGACCCAGAAGAAGTAGAGCGTCACCTTCCGATTGTCATCGAAGGAAAACCACAGGAAATCAAACCTGTGTGATGTGGCCATTGGTCACACAGACACAGACACACCGACACACACACACACACACACACACACACAAGTGCATCGATCGCACCGTCGTGTTTATGTTATGTGTGTGTGTGTGTGTGTGTGTGTGTTGTGTGTACTTGAGGGGCTGTCCAACGGTGGCGTCGATGAACTCGAGGTAATCGAGGAAGGCGTTGCCGAAGAAGTAGTACCCCATCCACAGCTTGAACGAGATTATCGGCCCCCAGAACAACGCATACGCCATCTGCACACACACACACACACACCCACAAGTAAGAGCCATCCATCTTCAACGAATCTGGCTCCTCCCTCCCTCCCTCCCTCACCATGTGTTTGTATTCGTCGCTTAGCATAGTCGCGTTGCCCGAGAAGGTCGCGTGAGAGCTCCAGGTCGGCGGGCTCCTCCGCCACCACGGGAAGGCCTTCCTCGCCCGCACCAGGAAGTAGGACAGGCCGTGCAGGAGGTAGAAGGCCATGTAGCCGCCGCCGATGTAGCCTTGCGGCTGCAGCAAAGGGTCCGCCAGGCCGCTCGGGCTGGTGTGGCTGACATACGCGGCGGCCAGGAAGAAGCCCCACCGCAGGCCAGCCATGCCTTGACGAGCCCACCTGCACACGAACACCACACACAACGGGTGGATGAGATCAGAGGCATCACATCACACCACGAGGAGGGCACTAGGGCACTGGCTGACCAGCTCATTCTCTGCATGCCCTCTTGTGCGTCAAGCAGCCGCTGCAGAAGGGGGACGGGGGCCATCCAGTAGAAGAAGAGGTCCAGCATCTCCCGCACGGCGCTCCCCGCAGACGAGCCGACCGCCACAGTGCCCCACCAGCCTTGCCAGTCCCAACCTGGTGTCACATCACAGACAGACGGAGAGAAGCCAAGGAACATTATATATCCCTGTCTGTCCACACCATGGATGCCTATGTGGGTCAGTCAGTTATCTTAAGATCGTTACCTCTCGCGCGAGCTCCCAGTGTGAGGATGATGAGCAGACTGACCAGGTGGAAGTGGTAGAACCGCCACCAAGTGCGGAAGAACTGTACGATGGGGACACACCACACACGTACACACATACCGTATGTCACGTCAGCACGACTGACTGGCCGCTGGCTGGCCTCTGCGTCCGATTCGGCTCACGTGCAGGTAGCTCCTCTGCTCGACGAACGTCTTCTTCCTTCCCTTGGGTGGGTGCAGCTTGACGAGCTGATGCGTCTGCGACTCGGCCTTGATGAGCCTGATGATGTTGCCCTGCCAGACGCCGCCCGTGCCGGGCTTCCCCGCCACCCCCAGATACTCCTGCACCACCGGGGCCTTGTGAAATATTTCGTTGAAGTCCTCGTAGTTCATCTTGACGGGGTGGTCGCCTTGAGCACGCCTAATAGACACACACACATATAGACACACACACACACACAGATATGCGACGTGTGTGGGTGTGTATGTGGTCACTGCGGCCGGCCCACGCGGTTACCTACCGCATTTCCTCCCAGAACTCGTTGATGACGGGCGTGATGGTCTCGATGAATGTGGGCAGGGTGGCGGGGTCGACGTCGTCCCAGCTCTTGACCATCCAGTGGAAGATGAACAGCAGCATCTCCGGGCAGTGGCGCAGATTCGCCGACTCGCCCCACATCAACTTCCACAACGCTATCTCTCGGGCCATCAGCTCTGAATGAATGGCACACAAACACGTCTACCACGTGCAATGATGACTCCTGTGTGCGTCTCTTCTGTCTTTCTTACGCAAAAGTGTCTTTGGGTTCTTCCTCTGCTTCTCCTTGTCTTTCTCGAACGCAGCGACGGCGCCTGTGAGTCCCTTGCCGGCCTTGGCCTTGTTCTCTCCCCATGGGAATGGCTTGATGTTGACGTACTGGCACCACCTGCGGTAGTTCTTGAAGAGCTTCCAGTGGTAGCGGTAGAGGGCGTACTCCTCCAGACGACTGAACCCCCTGTCGCGCATCGCACGCGTCGTCTGCCATTATGTCAAGTCAGTCATCGCACCCACACACGACAGACAGACAGACAGACAGACCATTTCGCAGCCACCCACCACCAACGTGGTCATCCATCGGTCATTGAGTGCGTTGGGTACCTCGTTGGTGGGGGGGTAGTCCCGGAGGGCGATTGAGATGAGGGTGTAGACGACGTCCTCGTACTGGTTCAAATAGTTGTCCTCCTGAAACCGAAACTTGTGCACCATCTCCTCAAACACCGTCGGCGACCCACCCACACGACCGCTCGACGACCCCGGGGTGCGGAACAGCCGCAGGATGTTCCTGATGATGGTCTCGTACTCGAGCAGCTGCCCGGCGTCATCGGCCTTGCCGCGGGGCGAGGTGCTGACGACAACGGGGTCAGTGGACCGCTCGTCGTCGAAGGTTGTGAGTGGCGAGTCGGGGTTGCTGCGGATGGTGGGGAGGCCGTCGCTGATGAGGCGGCCCTCGATGACGTCGATGAAGTTCTTCTTGCTCGTGTCCTCCTCGGGCCACGTCAGCCAGGAAGGCGCCGGCACGGACGTCCTCTGCGCCATCTCTCTCTCTCTCGTGTGCCGGCCGGGGAGGGGCGGGGCTGGAGCAGTGCGGGCGGGGCTCACCTCAGGCACCACTCAGCGGAGCCTCGTACGTCAGTCAACACAAGTGTAGAGGCATACACGCACGGGCGGGCGGGCTGTCGGGGCGGGGCGGGGCGGGTAGAGAAGTAGGGAAACTTCGACGGGCCTTTTCTCTTGGCTGCAGCGCGTGGGAGGAGGGAAGCGTGTTGCCGTCACACAGCGAGCAGCAGCAAGGCGGCGCCAGTCGAGCGGAGATGGGGAGGGGCGGCAGGTAGAGAGAGGGAGCTATACACTACAGAAGTGTATACTTATATATATACGCCCGCAGCCCCTTTTGGCGCCCTTGGTTGGTTGGTTGGCCCCGCGGGGAGAGGCACTGTATACAACACTACAACGGCCAAACCCTACCGGCCAGATTATCCCGGCCGGCCAAACCATCCATTGGACTATTGTTTCTGCTCGGGAGAAAACCGCTAGGTTCTGCTTGCCGCACGCACGGCACGGTGACGTTTTTCCTGCAAAATGGTGCGGTTTGTCCCGTCTTTGTGCCTGTGGACCATCGCGGCCGTTGACGCTCTCCGGGCCGCCGCCCAGGAGATTGCCATGCTCAGGGCCTCTCTCGACGAACAGCAAAGGCTGGCAGAAGGTGTGTAAGGCAGGCAGAAAGAACACTGCTGCTGTTCAGACAGAGTTGGCTCGTGACTGACGTTCCTTCTGCTTGTCGTGTCAGGCACGACAGCCAATGCGACAATGTCCGACGGCTCCTCTGGTGGTGGTCACAAGATGGCCTTCCCGCCGTCGCTGCTGTTCTCTCTCCTGCGGCACCCTGACGTGTCGTCGATGCCGGCCATCACCGCACTGGAGGCCGACGTAGAGGGTGCGCAGACGACCTACAGCCAGGACACGTACTCGTTCGAGTCGACTCTCGAGTTCCTCCGCACGCTGGGCATCCGACGCATCTTTGAGCGGCTGGACGCGCCCATCGCCGCTGCACTGCTGGAGCGGCTGGGGTGGTGGGGGCTGAAGCAGGTCGAGCCAGATGAAACGGAGCTGATGCGGGTTATCAACGGGGTGGAGGAGCGACTGAGGGGGGGAGGGCCGGAGAAGGCCATGATCTATGTGCCGGAGGTAAGCACAGCACAAGGGAGAGAGGAAGGAGGAATGGGCGGGGGGATGGCCTTGTTCGTGTTGCAGGTGTTGCCTGACTACAATGGCGACGGTGCGGTATCTGTCATGCTCGACGCCCGGGCACCTCTCAGCTGGAACCTGCAGCTGCCGCAGCCAACACCCACCAAGCCCACCAAGCCCACCAAGCCCTGCCCAGACGGCTCCTCTGAATGCACCAGCTCGGCCCAAGCCTTCCGGCCGACAGTCAAGGGCGTCAAGTACAAGTGGGAACTGACCACACACAGGACAGCCGAAGAGACCGTTCTCTACGAGGGCCCCCATTCTGAGAAAGGCATCGCCCTGCCCGTCGGCAAGCACACCCTCTCCCTCACCGTGACGTCGTCTGCCAACGGCTCCGCCAACAAGACCGTCACAGCCAAGAAATCCGTCACTGTGGCGCCCATCGATCGCCTCCCTGGGGTGCAGGTGTTTCTGTACGACAGTGGCACCCACATGGAGCTGCTGGAGAGGTGGCAGTCGGCGCCTGTTGAGGAGCTGCCCAACGTGCCGTCGTGGGTGGGAGTGGGCCGGCGCGACGGCATGGCCATCGATGCGCGCAACGGGTGGGTGGGGGACAGTGCGTATGGGAGGGGGTGCCTGGTGCGGCTGATCGGATACCTGGACTTCAGAGCCTCAAAGGGTCAGCTGATTGAGCTTGTGGCTGGAAAATGTATGGGCGTTGCTGGTTTTTGTTTGTTTGCAGGTGTGCTGGACAAGCGAGAGCCCATATCGATCACGACGACGCACCCTTTGAAGTTCACGTCGCTCCACATCAACGGCCACGTCCACAACCTGACTCAGAACCTGGTCATCTCGCCGCACAGCAACTCGCGGCAGCTGTTCGACGTGCGCTTCTCCCTCCAGCATCCCCCAACCGACCCCCTCTCGCTGCAGTTCTTCCCCGCCACCTCCCCCCTCACGCCATCACTCACCCCCGCGCCACTGGCCTTCTTCCGCAATGAGACCGCATTCCTGCCCCGTCCCTTCATCAACCATATAGAGCCCAATGTCGGCCGCACCAAGACAGTCATACGCATCCACGGCCGGGGGATGCTCACCCCGCAGCAGAAGGGCGAGAACACCATCTTGGTGCATTTTGACGACGACAGTGCGGTTGCGGCGGAGGTGAGCGAGATGCCCGACTCGTATGTGGAGGTGGAGGTGCCGCCTTGGCACGAGCCGAGTGTCAAGGAGGTGAATGTGTGGGTGGAGACGCAGCGAGGCGGGTCCAACAAGAAGATGTTCGTGTACGAGGGCGAGAGGGGCAAAGGCCCCGTCGCATTCGACAGGAGGGTGGTGGCACAGGTGGACCACCCCACTGTCACCGTCTGGGGGCCCGACCAGCTCCTCTACGTCGGTTCCCTTACGGGGCATCTCCATGTGAGTGAGCTTGTTCGTGAGTGGGGAGCGACCCCCCCCCCCCCCCCAAA